TTCAACATGCTTTTGTACATCAAACCTCATTAAGTTCTATTACAACGAATTCATATATTTGCAAGCTAAACTAACTTTTAATTACTGTTTCCTCGAATTTTTTCCATATTAACATTTCAAAAGAAATAATAACTTGCTATATAAACCTACATACATGTATAAAGATAAAAGTGTGAGGTTTACAAGAAAAATTTTTCAAATTCAAAATCTATTTAATAATCTCATTATGCTTGCTTTGGTTAGAGTACATGTGGATAGTTGATTGATTTTGTCTTGAAATGTCAATATGCTTCTGCATGCTTATCTGGAGAGGATCTTAGGCCATCTTTGAATTCCGTTGAGCCTTAGCCTTTTTCTTGTGAAAAATTTATCCCTAGTGTCGTGATTGAGCCTTAATTGAAAATTCATTTCCATGCCACATGTTTTACCAAGCTAGTGCAAAACGATTGCCATTACCACACCCTGGTTGTTCCGAGATTGATTGTGATTAATCATGCAGAAAGAGAAAAGTGGTGAGGAAACCCACAAAAGGGATGAATGGCATTCAATGAAAAAGAAGAGAAGAATCCAAGAAAAAAAAGGGAGAAAAGGGGGTTGAAAAAGAAAAGAAAAAAAAAATTTGAGAAAAAAAAAAGAGAAACAAAAAGTTGACGCGAATGTGTAAAGTTGAAAATTCACAAAAAAGCGATTTTTGATAATAAATGTCATGCCTTCGGAATTGTGAGATCCTAGTGTCCCACATTGGTTAGAGAGGGGAAAGTTACTGGGCTTCTTAGTAAGCCCCTCGCCTTACATGGCATAAAGCCTTTTCCCAGGGATACTAGGAGGAACGAGGTCGTGAGAGCCAGTGGGCCCAAAGTGGACAATATTATGTCATGTGGAGGGGTGGGGTGTTACAAGAATAACCCTTTTTGTCTCCCTCTACCCTTCGTATCACTTACCCTAAATATCACCCCAATGCCTCATTACAACCTATGAAAGTCTTAAATGATCTAGATAAATCATGGTGAGAGTACACTTTAAATGAAAAGAAAAGTTGATTTTGTTATCTAGTGCCCTAACATTCCATTCATGAGATTATGGCAAATTCGTTTCAATTGTTGTGTATGCACATCATTTTTGGATTATATGTAAGCATTTTGGTTTATACATAGGATTCTATCTCACATATACACATGGAGAGAGTACCTGGATAATCATTGAGTTATTCATTTTTTAAGGAAACCCTTGGTGAGTTTTGCATCAAAGCTGAATTTAGATAGCCTAGTAAATGTGGATTCCGTTGAGTAAATGTTTAAATTGGGTATTCACGTACACATGAGTTGAAAAGAAACGTATAGGTGTATACTCTAGAATAGTATTTAAAGCTATGATGAAACTCATGTGTAATTGGTTCGGGTGTTCGGAGAAAGTTGTTTTTGACATCCCAATGCTAGTTAGCATAAGGGCATATGTTTCAAATGTTGGATATAAGAAGAATAAGTTTATAGGTACCTTCACTAAAAATCTTCACGAGACAAAATTTGTCCACTAAGGATCATCTAGGGGTTTAAGGACTTGTTGCATATGCTAAATGCAATAGTGGAATTAGTATAAGTTTATTTTTGTGTGCTTAATTTTTACATTTAGTTTGCTAGGGACTAACAAAGCTTATGTTCAGGGGTGTGATGAGCACGTAATATTGCATATTTAACAGTCTCATTACATGCATTTTAACTCAACTTTGTATTTAATTACTTAGAGTTAGCCAAATTTATGAATATTGTGAAAATTTTGATGTTGCAGGCAATCATAAGATAATTGATGGCTTTTGGAACCCTACAACTAAGTGTGGATGAGTGGTGAAAATATGAAAACATTACATAAGGATTTGTAGGCTTAAAAGTGAAAAAAACCAAGGAGGTATTGGTACTTGGTAACATAGGTACCGAAACCCACACTGATTGGTAGTAATACCCCGGTATTTTGAATGTTTGACCATGATTTATTTCGAATTTGAAAAAGTGCAAAACATAAAAATTGTAGATATGGATGTCCTCTATCCTGTATACAAAATTTCAGCTCAATCGGATGATGAGATCAAAAGTTATGAGAAGTTTACAAAAACGGGTCCTAAGCTTGCATCCCCCTTACGACCTACTAGTAGAACCTTAAAACCTACCAGTAGAAAAACCTATTGGAAGTTTTTTACTGGTAGGTTTTTCACTTTATACACGTAGGTTTTGCCCAGAAGTGTCGTACACCTTTTCACACGACTCTACCTATTTCAGGGGCCCACCTATTGTCATCTCAACCATACCCTAACATCTTTGACACACCATGATGGTCTCTTACACCCTAAAGTCAGATTTTGGAAGGGAAAAGCTTTGGAGGGGCAAGAGAGAGAAGAGGGGTGGTTGGTGAAACATGGGAGGTGCATACTTCGCTTGTCCTTGCTTGTTGAAGTGTCCAATCTCTTCCCAATTATTGCAACTCAGTTCTCACAGACCATGGAAGGGGGTATGGACGAAAATTAGGAGGACTACTACACAATTATTCAGTTACACACATAGTTTTAAAGAGAGAAGCTCAAGGAAGAAGATGAAACTTTAGAAAGAGAAAGTTAGGTTTTTGCATTTACAACTCCATTTCAGTTGTAGTGAACTTCAAATCACTTGTAATCTTTGTTTCTTGCACTTTAATCTCCTTCATTTCAAGTGTATTCAAGTCTAGCTACACGTTCTTGTATTTTTCATGTTTACGTTTGGGTTCTTACTTTCCAAGCTTTCTATTTGGGTATGAAATGAACTTGTCTTTGTAGTTTAATTTTTTTTTTTAACATTAATACAAGTTTTAATATTTATATCATCACCATGTCTCTTTACATTATGTATGTGTTTGTTTTTATTATGAGTAGCTAAGCATTTAGTTGGCTAACTCAAGGTGAATTTCTTCTTGAATATGCTAAATCAACTCTTCTCCATTCTTTCTCATAGTGTAAAGTGTTTGGTTTGACTAGGTTGAGTTCGGACGTAGTTGTGAGCTCTTGATACATCGTAAACTTGTCACAGGGTATACTTGAGCTACACCGTCACATTAGTCCCTCACTTCCTTCGAATTAATCAAACATCTAGGCACTATTGGTTGAATGAATTGAGTTGATTTGACATTCCCATTGGAATGATCTCTTTGGATTAGTCAACCTTGTTTTCTTGCATTTTATCTAAACTCCATTCACCAAAACACAAAACTCATAAGATTTTACACTTTTCATTTCCTCACAAAATCACCCTTCACAATAATTTGACCTTCCTTCCCTGAGGAGACGATCTTGGAATACCCATTTCAAGTAAAACACGACATTACAAGTCTCTATTTGTTTGGGGAGCACTTTTGCACACACGTTTTTGTTCACACAAGATTTTTTACATTTCTAGCATCGAACTCGAGGAAGAGTGACACTCACCTATTCACATAAGCCATATACACACTACTGAAATCATATTTGGAGATTAAGAAAAACGAATTCAAGGAGTCGGCCTTGTGTGGGTGGTGGGATTTCATCTAGGTTAAATCATAGGTGTTGGTTAGAACACGATTTTACAGTGAAAGTATATTTCAAAAACACATGTTTAATAAAAAATATTTAAAATATTTTTACAAAACACATTTTTAGTGTAAAATCGTTTGTCACAAATTTATAAAAATAATAATAATTTGATAAATAAACTTGAAATGACGATATTTAATAAATTAACAATGTACAATGTGTGTTGCACGTGAATATTAAATAAAGTGTTTTTTTTATAAAAAATTAAATTATATGCATTAGGAAATTAAATAATAAATTATGTAATTTTAATTAATTTATATTTTTATTATATTCAAACTTAATTATTGATCTATTCCATATATCTTTGAGTATTCAATCTGTTATTTATTTAGATATCTTTCTGACCACTTAGATATATTATTTTTTGTTTATAATGAATCTTTATTGTAAGATTATCATTATTGAATATTTGCACATCTAATTAAATTATAAATTTATTATATTTTTTGTTAAAAAAATTGATTAAATTATAATACTATTATTTTTATTATAATAATATGATATTGCTGTATACCAAAAAAATCAACTACAACTTATATTGATATGTAAAATATATAAATATAAACATAGATATAGACATTTTTATGCAAGTGTATTAGTAATAAACTAGACCAAAAGAATTTAAGAACTATATACAATTAACAAAAGAGTCTAAAAATGAAAGAAAGTAATACATAATTTAGAATTTAAATATTATTAATAAAAGAGTTTAAAAAAAATTAGAAGTCAACTAGGTATAAGAATAAAAATTAGAGTAAACTAATATATGAGTATCAATTATTTTATAATAAAAATTTAGAATAAATAAAAAATTAAAAAATTTTCATGACATTTATAAGTATACTAATGCTATTGAGACATAATTTAAGGATAAAATAAGTTGTCACCAATGATATGATAGTGAAATATATTTAATAATAGATCTCATTATAATATTAATGAATTCATTATCATATCATTGATGACAATTTATTATGTCATCAAATTATGTCCGTAAGTTATATCTCAATAACATTACTCTTATAAGGAATATAAAATAGGTATTGATAAAGATAGATTTATAATCCACAGTAAATCGGGGAAAAAATTCCGAATCATCGGGGTTGGTCAGCCAACCACCAGGGTAGGTGAACACGGACTCTGATCGCAATGCCCAGTCATCCCTTCCCACGTATAAATGATAAGACTAACAATAAAACGATAATACGATGGGTCGTTCTCTCTCACCGACTACAAACAATCACAGCCGTCGTTCCATCACCAATGTGGTCCTTGTACGGCCAGATTTCACTTCGTAAACCAACAACCACATAAAATGTGGACCCCACTAATTATACCTAAAAAATAGATAAATAAAACCCACCAACAGGGCCAGCCCCCACGACAGGCTCATGTGGGTTTCCTTCTATAAATACGGCTACGATGTCCAAAGGTGAGACTCGCAAGCATTTGGCCTACCCAAAGAGAAACTCACCATCACTCTCTTAATTAGCGTTGGGTCTTATATCTTTCTCTCTCTCCAGGTACGTTTTTCGTGCAAAAATGTTCATTCATTTTCATTAGTTTAATGAGGAAGGTTGTGTAGCTTTAGTCTTTAATGGCGTAGATCTGATACTGTGGAGTTTGTCTCAGTGGATGTGCTTTAGTGCTTTAATGGAGTAGATCTGATACTGGGTGGTTTATGTAGTTCTAAAACAGAGTAGATAACTTACCGAAAAAAAAAGGACTAGATCTAATCTGCATTATTCATTGGACTGTCTCTCCATGTTTGTTTTGTTTCTTAAATGGTCTTTTTGGTCGTTGACTTCAATTATCAGTTGTCTTTGGGAATAAGTTTTACTAGATTTTGATGCTCCCTGCAATTGGTTTTTGCATGAATTGTTGATGTGTTATGAATTGTTGCTGGCCCTTTATTGCTTTCGTTTACATTTGACTCAACAGGACTTTATGAACTAATTATATGGATGAACATACACCGGGAGAGATCCAGGATTTAGGCTTAGTGGATGTTTAGAAAAAAGGAGAGAAGTTTGGCAGACAAACGCCTTGCAATTATAAGGATTGCTTCATCACTATTTCAAATAGAATTCTTGTCATATGCTTTTCTGTCACCCATGTTGCCAAGTGTTTTTTTTTTTTTTTCTCTTCATTTCAAATTTTATTTCATTCCCTTGCATTAGTTGGTGTTATGGACCTTGTTGAAAATTATGTTTCAGCAATACTTCATTTTTCTTTTGGGTGTATTTTGTAGCCTTGATAATACTATATTGGGGCTGAGTCTATTATTCAGCGCGCAGAGCACACGGTAGGACCTTAGTTTCAGCCGGTAGGTGCGGTGGAGTCCACGGCAAATAGCTGTGTGGTGTTGTGGAGTAATTCTAGCGGATATATGGAATGATCTATCTATATATCCATTTTTTGTACCCAAAAAAATAATAATAATACTATGTTGGTGTGATAGTAAATCTGATAGACCTGATCTTATCAGTTCTCTCACTTTCAAGATGGCTATTGCTGTGTGGAGAGTCGCACACATGGATGCCTGGATGTCACCAACGTCGGCTTCCAATTCTTAATCATCTCAATTACTGTGCTCTGTAGCTATTATACTTCTCTTAAATTAGCAGTTATCTTTTAAGCATCTCCAAGGCCCATCTATTTTATATTTATTAGCTAAAATAAAGACTAAATCATAAAATTTTACTCGAGGCTAACTATTTTATCATTGGGTTAAATGGCTCTCTACATTTAGAGAGAGTTAAATCACTCTTTTTGAACTCTAAGGAGTTAACTATTTTACATTTTAATGACATGTCAAGATATGCAATATTTCTGAACGTTCCTAATGAAATGTTAGGTGGTATGAGTCGATCCTTCTAGCAGAAGGAAAACTAAAATATTAATAGTAGTTAACTAAAATAGAAAGTATGGTTGGAGTAATTTTGTAAAAGTGGTTCTTTAAAATAAAGAATGTAATATTTTAATATATTTGGACTAGCTAATTTGAAGAGCACCCTTTGAGATGCTTAACTTTGTAAAAGTGACTCTTTAAAATAAAGAATATAATATTTTAATATATTTTTACTAGTTATTTTGAAGAGCACCTTTAGAGGTGCTCTAATGGCTATTGCTTTGTTGAGAGTCACATGCATGGATTCCTAGATTTCGCTAATTTCTGTTTCCAAATTCTCAATAACTTCAATCATTGTTCTCTGTAATATTGTGATTAATTTTGGTAAAACATTCATTTGTTGTCGGGTGGGTAAAATTCTTGCCTGTTTTACCTGTCGATTGCTTGTCCCAGAAGGATGACTTTTTTATGTTGTAGATCAATTTGAATTGAGATTTATTCTGTTAAGGCTTTTGGCGGGAAAATTTATTCTTTAGTTTTCCAGGATTGTATCCGTTACCCTGAGTCACGTTAATGCTGTGTTTGTGTGAGCCCATGGGCTTGCAGGGAACAAGGAAATTCCGTGGGACCCCCCTATCCCAATAAAGTTGTAAAAGATGTGCAATTATTTGTAAAAAATCAATAAAATCCTGTTTTGTAGATATCACTGTAATTTATTCCAGGGTGTTGAACAAACTCTTTTTATGAAATATGTACTTTACAGAAGTGGGCAATAGCTGTTCCTGGATACCCTACTTGTACTCTATTTTTAGGAGTTTATTCCTGCATTATATTTCTTGTCTTGGATAGGTTATTCTTGCTATTCCTTGTCTTTTTTTTTTTATATCTTCATGCCTTGATTTCTTTAATATGTGCTTTATTCTTCATGTGGGTGAGTTACTGGGCTATTCATGCGTTTACATTATGTGATTTTGTGCTTGCAGCTTCCAAAAATGGAGACCTTCCTATTCACTTCTGAATCTGTGAATGAGGGACACCCAGACAAGCTTTGTGATCAGGTTTCTGATGCAGTACTAGATGCCTGCCTTGCACAAGATCCTGACAGCAAGGTTGCCTGTGAGACTTGCACCAAGACCAACATGGTCATGGTCTTTGGTGAGATCACAACCAAGGCCAAGGTAGACTACGAGAAGATTGTGCGTGACACCTGCCGTACAATTGGATTTGTTTCCGATAATGTTGGCCTTGATGCTGACCATTGCAAGGTCCTGGTCTACATCGAGCAACAGAGCCCTGATATTGCTCAAGGTGTCCATGGCCACCTTACTAAGCGTCCCGAGGAGATTGGTGCTGGTGACCAAGGTCACATGTTTGGCTATGCTACTGATGAAACCCCTGAGTTGATGCCTCTCAGCCATGTGCTGGCAACTAAGCTTGGTGCCCGCCTCACTGAAGTCCGCAAGACTGGAACCTGTCCCTGGTTGAGACCTGATGGAAAAACCCAAGTCACTGTTGAGTACTGCAATGACAATGGTGCAATGGTTCCAATTAGAGTCCACACTGTTCTCATTTCTACACAACATGATGAGACTGTCACTAATGACGAGATTGCTGCCGACCTCAAGGAGCACGTCATTAAGCCTGTCATTCCTGAGAAATACCTTGATGAGAAGACCATCTTCCACCTTAACCCATCTGGTAGATTTGTTATTGGCGGGCCTCACGGTGACGCAGGTCTCACTGGTCGTAAAATCATCATCGATACATATGGTGGTTGGGGTGCTCATGGTGGTGGTGCCTTCTCCGGCAAGGACCCAACCAAGGTAGACAGGAGTGGTGCCTATGTCGTTAGGCAGGCTGCCAAGAGCATTGTTGCCAGTGGGCTTGCTCGCAGGTGCATTGTGCAGGTCTCTTATGCCATTGGTGTGCCCGAGCCATTGTCAGTGTTTGTTGACACTTATGGCACTGGCAAGATCCCAGACAAGGAGATTCTTCAGATTGTGAAGGAGAGTTTCGATTTCAGGCCAGGTATGATTGCCATAAACTTGGATCTCAAGAGAGGTGGAAATGAGAGATTCTTGAAGACAGCTGCATACGGTCACTTTGGAAGAGACGACCCCGATTTCACATGGGAGGTGGTTAAGCCCCTGAAGTGGGAGAAGCCCCAAGCTTAAGTTTCTGCAGTTCATTTCTTGCAAGAGATCAATGATGTCCTTGCTCTTTTCTGCCATTTTGTGGCCCAAGAGTCCACCTATTGTTTGCTTGTCATTGTGCTCTATTTTCATTTTTCCTTTGTTGTATTTTCTTTGTCATGGTCATACAAGATATGTGGGGAGTAGGAGATATATCGGGTCTTGTGGTTTTTGATGAAAAAATATAGAAAGGAGCTGCTTCATAATCTGTGTTAAGAAGTAAACAGTGATTTTAGGGTTCAGCTTTGGAGCAGCGTCGTTGTATTGATGTTCGTTTGTGGACATGAGGTTATGATTTTCTAGCTGTTCTATTCATTATGATAGAGCTTTCTCTGCTAAGTGTGACTAATGTTTACTTCATCAATGAATGGCTTAACCGGTCCCATTAGCAGATTATGCTGTTTGCTGACCTGCCTTTAGTTTGTGTTTCTTTTTCTTCTTCTTCTTCTTTTTTTTTTTTTTGGAAAAACAAAATAAAAATCTAGTGTCGAAATTGGGTCAAAATAATTTTGACATGAAAAACTTGTTTAATATATATATTTTTTTGATTTATGAAGCCAATTGGATTAGTTAGATAATGCCTAATTTTTGTCATTTTCTCATTTCTTGATCTGGTTTGGCATACTTCAAGAATGAGAGGGTTTTCAATCGGTTTTGCTACAAACTTATGATAGATTTTATTGAAAAATTTAATCTTCCTATTGTGCGTAGCAGAATTGAATACTTATTTCTTGCTATTGATTTTTAAGTTTGAAAACAAAAAGTCCGAATTCTCTATAGAGAGAATAATCAATGAACCCAACGACCCTAACAAGTATGAATGTGTATCACAGTCTTGACCTCAATGCTCAAGAAGAACACTCAAGAACAACATCACAAATATGTACTGTATTGAGGTATATGAGACAAGAGTTTCCTAACTACATATGATATGATATCTGAATACCCATATGACTTGATGAAAAATCACAGGCATGAAAATATATATAGGTCAGGGACCCTTATCCAATAGAGAAACTACAAGTAACGTCTTTCCATCAAAGAGTTACGACTGTTTTGAACTGCTCTATAATGGTCACTCCATTTGATAATAGGAGTAGTGGGTAGTTATTTTAACGTTAGTTACCTAAAAAGATTTGACTCAGTAAATAAGATATATATATATATATATATATACAATTTGGCACACGTGACACATCATTCTCCCATTTGGCACACGTGACACATCAGACAATTTGGGTAACCAACATTTGATACTGAATATGGTCATACAATAAATAACTATCAGAACTTTATTGAGGAAAATAATGCACGAATCAAAGCGGTTGTATTCTTTTAAATGAACACTCCCTTATTTGTATTACAATGCATCATCTTCTCAGGACTTTATGCGGCTCCTTATGAATGATTTCCTACAAGTCATTCCGGGGTTCTATATTCCCAATGGACTACACACTAATCTTAATGGACAGTAAATCATAAATAATACATGTGCACAAAATAAGTGAAGTCTGCATTGATCAAGATCAAATATTTACAAACCAAGAAATCAACCATACAGTGAACCAACTAATCCCACGTGCTCTATATGTTTCAAATACACCTTAATTGAGAGCCCATTAGTCATGGGATATGCTAACATTAGATTTGTACTAATGTGATCAATAGATACTTCTTGTTCCTTGACTATTTCTCTGACAACAAAATACTTGATATCAATATGTTTGGTTCGGTTTTCACTTTTGTTATTCTTAGAAAAAAAAACCAACAACTGAATTATCATCGTAAAGGCTTAATGGCTTAGATATAGAAACCACAATATGAAGCCCTGTGATAAAATTTCTCAACTATTTCGCCTGTTATATTGCTTTAAAGTACACTATAAACTCTGTTTCCATAGTAGATGCTGCAACTATCGTCTATGTTGGCACTTTTCCATGATATAGCACTTCTTGCAACTACCTCCATACAGTACATACTTTTCCATGATATAGCCAAGAAAATGTATTTACTCCCACTAAGCTTAAGGTATATGCAATTATCCACAACATTCTCCTCAAAACCATATGAGGTAATAACATTATGAAACTTAAGATACCACTGGAGGGAGCCCTACTTTAGTCCATATATGGATTTCTTTAGCTTGCAAACCAAGTGACTATCCTCATCAAAACAAAATCATTCAGGCTGTTTCATGTACACTTCTTCGTCAAAATCCCCATTTAAAAAGGTTGTTTGCACATCCATTTGATGTAGCTCTAAATCGAAATGAGCTACTAATGCCATGATAATTCTAAATGAGTAATTTTTAGAAACTGGAGAGAAGGTATTGTGATAATCAATGTTTTCTCTTTGAGTGAATCCCTTAGCTACAAGTCTGGCCTTATATCATTCGACATACCATTTGAGTCTTTCTTAGTCTTATAAACCCACTTACAGCCAATGACCTTAACTCCCTTAGGTAACTCAACAATTTCCCAAACTTGATTTTTAGCCATGGACTCCATCTCTTCTTTCATGGCCTCGTACCAAAATGTGGAATTCTCTCCACTTATGGCATGTGAAAAAGAGATAGGATATTCCTTATGTCCAACATCAAAGTATGACTCCAATAGGTACACAAAGTAATCATTAGAAATAACTGGTCTTCTTACCCTTGAGGATCTCCTTAGCTCTATAGTCTCATCCATACTTTGTGGGTTTAGAGCTGTAAACTCTATGTTGACTTGTTCCTCTTGTGGTGGTGGTATTTGAACATCATCTAGGTTATCCTAAATGACAACCATCTTATCTTTATTCACAAGTATGGTATCCGAATCCCGTGATTCCTCCCACTCAATCTTTCAAGGAATACTCCCACTAATATCAACACGCTCAATAAATTTTGCATTTCTGGCCTTAACAATTCTAGATGTGTGTGATGGACAGTAAAATTTATAACCTTTAGACTTGTTTGCATAGCCAATGAAATATCCATTGACTGACCTTGGGTCCAATTTCTTTAATCGTGGATTGTAAATCTTAACCTCAATTGGATAGCCCTATATGTGAAAATGTCTAAAACTGGGTTTTCATCTTTTCCATAACTCAAATGGAGTTTTGGAAATAGCTTTAGTAGGAACCCTGTTTAAGATATACACTGCTGTCTTCAAGGCTTCACTCCACAAAAAACAAAGGAAGATTAGAATTGCTTAGCATACTCCATACCATGTCTATAAGGGTGCGATATCGCATTTCAGCCACACCATATTGGTAAGGTGAACCTGACATAGTATATTGAGCAACAATACCTTTATCCTTTAAAAATTCAGGAAATGGACTAGGATTTTGTCCCAAATCTGTGTACCTTCCATAATATTCTCTACCCTTATTAGACCGTACGATTTTAATTTCCTTTCCCAATTGTTTCTCTACTTCCCGTTTGAATGTTTTAAAAGCATCCAATGCCTTAGAATTTTCAAACATAAGGTAGAGATACATAAATTGGGTATGATCATCAATAAATGAGGTAAAATATCTTTGACCATTTAAGCAAGGGGTAGGAAATAGTCCACAGATATCAGTGTATATGATTCAAAGTATTTCTTCACTCCTCTTGGCACCATAATTGGCTTTTTGGTTTGCTTTCCCTTTATGCAATCCACCAAGTACCAAAATTAGAAAAATCAAGAGCCTTTAAGACTCCATCATTAACCAATCTTTTAATCCTTTCCATGGAGATATGTCCTAATCTCATGTGCCACAACATGGAGGAATTCTCATCAATAATAGTCCTTTTAGTGCCAATATCATCATGCAAGGTTAGGAGACTATGTTCAAAACAGGATCCAAATTTAATTTGTACAAACCATCAACTAAGGTCCCATAACCAACCAAACCAGAGTTTTTGAACAAACGAAAGTCCAAACCAACAAAGTTGAATTCAAATCATAAATGTACTAATTTTGAAACAAAAATTAAGTTCATAGAAAACAAAGGAACATAAAGAGTATTTTCAAGATCCAAAACAAAGCCAGTTTCTAAAACAAGTCTAAAAGTTCCAACAGCCTCGATGTGTGAATGCACCCCATTTCCTGAATAGATGTCATGTTCACTTCCCATCGTTTTCCTTAGGCTAAAGAAGCCTTGCATAATATTGGCAACATGAATTGTGGTACCCGAATCAATCTACCAAGTATTATGATGAGAATAAATTAAATTGGATTCATAACACACAAGAAATATGAGATTACCTTTCTTCTCAAGCCACTTCTTATATTTGAGGCAATCTTTCTTGAAGTGTCCTTTCTTCTTGCAAAAGAAGCAAGTTTCCTTGTGGTGATGTTTTTTGAATGACCCTTTCCCATCTTTCTTCCATTTAAGAACACCTTTGCCTTTCTTACCTTGTCCACCTTTATGAGTGACTAGATGGGCACTCTCCAAAATTTCATGCTTAAGCTTCTCCTCTTCTTGAACACACATAGTCAAAATTTCATTCATGGACCATTTTTCTTTGTGTGTGTTATAATAGATCTTGAATTGTCCAAATTTTGTAGGGAGAGAGTTAAGTATGAACTAAACAAAGAATGACTCAGAGATCTTAACCTCAAGGGACTTAAGCTGAACTACAATGTCCCTCATTTCCATAATATGTTCACGTACACTCCTAGATTTGTTATGCTTCATGCCTGATAACTTGTTCATCAGGGTGCTGGCCAAGGCTTTATCTGAACTGACAAATTGCTCTTCAATGGCCTTCATATAGTCCTTCACTTTATCGCATTTTGGAATAGAACCTCTAATGCTCTTGCTTACATGTGACTTGATGAGCATTAGACTTAGGCGATTAGTTCGCTCCCATCACTCATAGGCACTCTTTTTAGTCAATGAACTTAACTCGGTGGGTATTGGATGTTCTTCAATGCAAAGTGCCAAATCCAAGTCCATACACCCTAATGTCAAGAGAATTTTGCCCTTCCAATCCAAAAAAGTATTGGAAGGATCCCAAACCTGTGGGTATAAGGTATCCAAAGCCCTTAATAGCCTATTCAATAGCTTATTCCAATTAAGCAGTATAAAATAAATATTTCTCTGTGGGGCCGAGTAATTATCTATAACAACTTAATCACAATATAGAGATGTTAAAAATATACTTTATATGATCAAACTAAATATTGATCATTAACTAACATAACTCAAGATGTTGTGGCAACTCTTAAGTTAATATGATATCTCCATGTGACATAGTTCATGACATAAATAAATTCTTCATGCCAAACAATTCCTTAAAATTGCTTCTGTCTAGCATGTATATACCATAACCAAACTTAATCTAAAAACATGCTAATATTATTCAATAATTATCAGAAGCAAAACCA